TTAGTAGTGAATATTTTTTTTAAACTCGACGAAAGAAATACTTCCTTGTAGCCCACAAATAATTATAAACGCTTAACAACGTAAAGATAAATGATTCGAGAAATAAAATTCAAAAAAATGAAAAACGAGGAGAAAGAGTCGGCGGAGAAGAAGAGATTTATAAAACGAGAAAAAAACAACTTCAGAGCAGGCGGTTACGTGTAGCCTATCCGAGCGACGAAGCCATTTACAAGTCTCGTTTTCCCCTTTGCTCCATCTCTCTTATCTTCCTCTCTGCCATGGTACATAGAGAAGCAGTAACAGCCAAGAGTGGAAAACCGGGAGTTAAACTCGCTTTGAGGAATTATTTCACGTAATGACTTGTCGTCCCCAAGAGCAGCTCTAATTACGCTTTTTGTCCCTGCTCTTGATGTGACTGGTCGATTCTCCATCTCATCCTTTCTTCTGCCCCTATTTTTACTCAGATGAATTTTTTTTCGGTTTTTCTCTCTCTGTCTCTCTTACATACACTTCCGCATTTTATATTATTATTATTTGATTACGATTTGTAGAATCATCAAAATATGACATCACCCGTGAGTATCCATTTTGTACAAATCGCATGTGAGTATAATTAAACTCACAAGTAATGTATAAATAAGTTTTTTTTGTTCTACTTTTTATAGTTTTACAGGAAAATACTTATTTTCCAAACTATTTTAACATTTGTTGATGAAAAAGGGGTTTAAAAAATGTGTAAATGTAAGACAAGGCTCGGTTTTTTAGTTTCTCATAATAGCACAGGGAACACTCGACTTCACGGCACACGAGCTCTAAATGACTGAAATTTCATTTCAAATTGTCTTCAAGCATAAATAACATTTTCTCGATTTTTGTCAGAATTTGTTCACTTTAAATTAAAATCGAACGTCAGTAAATTGAACATAAAAATAAAGTCCATAGCTTCGCTGTAGATCCGCCGTATTCGCGAGCAACGTGTCGCAGCCAACAATCCCGAAAAATCTAACAAACAGTCCAGTATAGAGCAACAAAAAGAAAGAGCATTAAGTAGGTAGGAGAAGGGAGTGCATGACGACCACCAGAGAAAAAAATGGGAAAAGAAACCGGTATGCATCTACGTGGGTTATTTTTGCACATGTATTACATAATGCACACGCACACACCATAAGGAATTGAAAGAGGGGTGCATATTTCGGTGCTCGCAATCGCATTATGTCGCACAAAAGCCGAACTGTAACAACTACAACTGCTAGCCCCGTTGTTGTTTGACTGCCTCCTCGGATCGTTGGCCAGACGAAGAAATCATCGTCATCGTTGTTGTCTCGAACTTCTGTATAAAATAAAAACTGAATGGTGAAATTGTAAAAGTGCAAGGCCGTTGCTTCTTTTAGAATTTATTCCTCCGAAAAAAGAAAGATGAAAAATAACTCGCTCCGTCTGCACATATCGGCATTACAATGTCGGAGAAATTAAACTTTTGCGGTGCTCATGCATGCACGCACAATAAGGAAGAGAGGGGTTGCTACTTCATTACTCTCTCCTCCCCACTTTCTCAGAAACTTTTGTAGTCAAGTCCATCGACCTACTGTTACTTCGTGTTTTTTTCTTACAAGAACCCAAGAGAGTCAAAAGAGAGAGAGAGAGGTCCCAGAAGTTCAAAAAACTCTGGAAGGGTGCACATGACATGTAACGTCGTGTAACGTCGTACATTGTAACGTCGAACAAAAGTACGTGTAGTGTTGCATAAGTATTCCTATGAAATATAGAGAAATAATATNATTTTAGATTCTGACATTAAGAAAAAGTGCAACGAAAGAAGATTTTGCTTAATTCTCCGCCTTGGCCTTGTCCCACGCGACGTATTTTCAGTACTCTCTATACCACATAACGCAACTACGAAAAAAAAAAAAAAAACGTTTCCAAACGAATTTAAACCCCAGACCTTCTGCACACTAGTTGAATCCTTTACCCACTCTGCATTTAACATTAAAAGTTAAATTATTAAATGCTTTATTTAATGAAAGAGCTTTTTCTTAAACAATTTATTTATACGTAAATATACATACAAACGCACATATCGTTGCCCCATACGAAAAAAATTTTTGGAAAAACAAAAAAAAAAAAAAAAAAAATACGTTTCTCAAACCTGTCTCGGTCGACTGTTCCGGTTTTTGAGGGTCAAGCTTTTCTGCTTCTCACTCCATACTTGATGATATTTTCAATTTGCGCAAGCAGCGACGGCGCCACTCCCGGTCAGATTGCTATTGTTATTATTAATATCCGCCATAGAACAATCACAACTTTGTGAGGATGGCTTTTGTTTTGTGGACGCCCCATCGTGGTAAAATTTTAAATCTCAACCATCGAGAACACTTGATAACACAAGATAGATCATAAATATGTTGGATCCTATCAATATCATTGGATGGCTGTTATTTTCTGATGATAACTGTTCAACTTAAAGATGTTGTGGCTTTCTCACATATTTTTGGAGGATCATGTTGTTTTATTCATTGATGTTTCGAAGAAATAGAGATGGAAACAGTCTGGAGAACTATGCAAATGCGTGGAATAAACAAAAAAACAAAAAAAAATCACTTAAAGTATACTATTACTTTACGTAATTTATGAAACCAAAAGCGAGTTTAAAGGCCATCAAGTATATCGTAGATGTATATAAAGAGACTATACGTTGTTGAGGCTTAGAGGAAACTTTTTTTTTCTTTGAGAAAACTTGGTAGTTTATTTCTCTGCTTGCGATAAAAGTTCTTTCAAGCTCAACACAAGTATTTTCTGAACTTTAAAGTAATTGGTACATGATATCTTCAGGAGTATGTCAGAAAAATGTTAAATTAAATAATAACCGAATGACATGAAAAAATTCCAATACAACAAAAAATGATGACGAAACGGTGATGCACCATCGTCAACTTGCCACAACTCTTTAAGAGGATAGAACACAAAAAAAATGATTAAAAAAAAAACTTCAATCTGGTACTCAAGAGATTTTCTATGAGAGTTTAATCTTTGTACTAAAAATAGGTAGTACTTTTCTCGCCACACGTCAAGAAAAAATAATAAATGCAAAGTCAATACTACTAATACACCAACTACCACATCTACTACTACTATATTTACAACTGACTACTTCCAACAATAATGATCACAATACCGAAACTAATTTCAAGAATCATACTCTTTAAATCATAAATTTACCTTTAAAGGTTGTTTAAAATAACAAGAATTAATACTTACAGTAGAATTGTATAAACAGTTACATGAAATTTTTTATATGTCACGAAAGACGAAAATCTTGTTGACTAAATGTGTCTATGTTTATTTAAGTACGTTAATTGTTGATATTTTAAAAATTAGATTTAGTTTTAACTTCACCACCTGAAAAATTGTATCTCTGAATACTAGTTTTTACATTGACTTTGGTACTGGTATAAGACAAGCTATCTGAGCGAATATACATAAACACATAACACCACGTAGTGCCGACACTACAGAATTTGCAGGCGTGACGAGGCAAGAGCGTGGGACGTGCAATAGGTCTACACACACGTGCAAATATCGTACGATAGGTACACAATCTATGACGGTAAAACGATGGCAGAATGAGAATAATGGAGAGAGAGAGAGAAACAAGTAGGTACAGCGAAATGTACCCACACATTGCTGAACATAGGTATATTCGTGAGCGAATACAGGGTACACCAGTCACTTTATACGATGCTCAAGCAAAATGATACTAAAAAATGAAATTTTTGATGAACACGTGTTTTTCCCTTTCATTCCCCACTCATCGCGCTTATCAAGCAGCTGCAAGCATCATCATAATATGAATATGTATGTATCTCGTAATCCACACAAAAATTACAAGCCAAGAAAATCGAAATTCTGAAAAAAAATCATTACGTAGTAGACTTGGGAGGCCCAAAAAAGTTTGAAGGCGTTTGGAACGCTGTATAAATTAATTACAAGTGACAGCAGTCAAAAAATTCTAGTTACGGATAACATGAGTTTGAGCTTGGCTTCATAAGTAAATTGAAAATAGGTTCATCATCGATGAAATCATCACATTTTTTACCAGAATGTAGAAAGCTCACTGCTCTTGGCCGAATCGACGTAGTTTTCTTTGTTACTAGAATTACAAGGTGTTGTAAGCGACTCCAATTGCTTTTCGAAAAGATAATACAACTATATCTCTAACTAAGTGATAAAAAAAAGAGTAAAACGACGCATTTTCCCGTAATTGATAAAATTTTTTAACACAATTATTTCTGTTTCTCTTTTTTCTCCTACATAAAAGGCATGTGTGTCAGAGCGATTGTTCCAAATGGGAAAATTTTAGGTTACGAGCATGATGTCAGCCAATGAGATGTCAAAAAAAAATTGAAGTATTGGAAATTTTCCTACAGATATTTAAGTTAAATTTATAAATAAATAATAGTAATTTAAAATAGTCAACTTTTTAACACAAGCATCTCATGCGGAGAAATACATTTTCAAAGGTGTTTATAAATACGAAACTTCATTGCACAGTTGGTTCGAAAGTTAAAATAAAAATACGATGAATGTATGGATATTTATCCGACTAATGTTGATTCTGATGAATCAGGATATCTATGACTCAGTTGTGCACGTACCAGGCACCTGGCTGTTTACACACTAAAGGCCGTAATTGCACCACTTTCGCCTTTGCGTGAATGCATACTTTTACCAAACACCGTAGGCAGATATATTACCATACGAAACAAAAATAAAGTAACGAATTTTTTAAAATGAAAGTAAAGAATGATCATGCATTTTTAAACAGTTTTTGAAAATTTGGAGTAACCTATGTTGCACTTCAAAATAAATATTACTCTGAGGAACTTGAAAAAAATATATGATACCACCATTCAATAGATATCTTCAAGAATGTATATCCATTATGGAAAAAAAAAAAAAAAAAAAAAAAGGCAACCTGCGAGGCAGTAGTGCTATATACTCACAGTGGGATGGGCGAGGCAGAGCTGCAGATCTCGGGGCTGTAGCTTGCCTGGTTCGCAGAGTGTCCAAGCCCCACAGCGACGTATCTATTGTGGGCCGGGTGCTGGGCGTGATGCTGCTGAAGATGATGGTGCTGCTGTTGCTGAGAAGCAGCCGCAGCAGCAGCTGCCGCAGCGAGATGGTGAAAGCCGTGTAGGTGATGCAGCTGCGATTGGCTGAGAGAGGGCGAGGCGGCGGCAGCGGTGGTGGAAGCACCGACGGTGTGGTGTCCCAGGGACAGTAGCCCGTTGGTGCTCGGGTGACCGGCGAGGTTGTACGGCTGGTATAAACTGGGCGTCGGCTGCTGGGCGAGCACTGGCTGGCCGACTGACGATGGCGTCAAGCTGACTCCGGCACTGGTGTTGCTGGTGCTGCTGCTGCTGCTGCTGCTGGTGCTACTGTGCGGGGGCTGGGCTTGGCTGCTCGCGGCAAAGAGCAACTGCGTCTGGGCGGCCAGGGAGGCTGCCGCGGCTGAGCTGCTTTGGCTCGCGCCCTGTTGCGGGCTCGCCGGGAGTACGGCCATGGTCGCGACGCTTAGCACCGGAGGCATGGCCAGTTACTGTTGCTGCTGCGGTAGTACGCTCGGCCAACCGAGGACTGCTGGTGCTCTTGCTGCGAGGAGCCCGGCGCTGGAGGCCGCCCGGTCTTGTTGCCCAAGTGGACAAGCATCGCCACCCGCGCCTTTGTCCCCGACGGATTGGCTAACTCGCCGTTACCAGGTCCAATACGTATATGTATATGTACACACACGACTGCTACAATTATCTGGCACTGTGTTTTCAACACTATTTATAAACTGATAAGTATAATGGCCCGCGAAAAAACAAAGCACTTTATTTTTCTCCCTCTATCTATATAATAGACGGGCTCAATTCAGCCTTATCACCACTGGATCCTCAACGTAATACGTATCACGTACACCTATATCTGTCGGTATTGCAAACCATTAGCGGTTTCTGCTGGTACAGGAGTTGTGGATCTGATTAAAGCTTCTTGCACTTTTCATCAATTTAATCACTAATAACAACAACAACAACAACAACAATAATGATAACAACACTGCATGGATATTTGGGACACGCAAGAGGCCCACCACACTTGTTTAATCAACGCCGATGATGATGATGATAATGACGAGGATCCACAAAACTCGTACAATTTCACAAGCATTAAACTTTGAACTGTGGAGAATCACAAGAACAATTTACCACTAGACTTCAGAGAGGAGAGGAATACGGAGAAACTATCTCGGAGTGGCTCCGATTGCTCCGAAACACACTGAGAGAGATGTATGTACGTATACACACAACCACACACATATATATTACATGCCTAATAATCGGAGCACTGCACATTAATAGGCTCGCCGTGGCACTTTCGTTGACGTACGCTTTGGCATAACAATAACAATACACGTATACGTGTGCATTATTAAACTTGGACACAATAAAGGGAGAGAGCTAGACTGGTTTAGCCATCGGAGGGGAAGAAGGGGCCGAAGAGAGTATTTACACGTCGATAGAGCGCGCGGTTACGTATATATAGGAATGTCGGGATATACATGTATATACATTATTTGTTGGGGCATGGATGGAACGCAGCAACGCCACATGCGGACCTTGCTTCCGCGAAGGTCGCTACTCTACTGGCTTGGCTCGGCTCGGCGCAGGGCGGACCAGACCAAGCTCTGACCCCCGCCCCTCCACTGCCTCTTCTCTCTCACACACACACACACACTGTATAGCTATATACGCATTACCTCCCGTTGCTGCACAGTCGTCGGCGGCGGCGGCCGCGTCCTCCTCTCCTCCACCTCTTCGCCGCTCTCTCATCGCAATCCCTGCGGCTCTTCGAGCTCGCGCGCAACGACAGTATACCTATATGTGTATACCTATATCTCTACGTATATATAGCGCGGTGGGTAAAATCCGTAGCTTCAGTTTACACATATACCTATAGGATAAGGTGCGGAACTGAGATCTTTTCCGGATCCTATTTAGGAATGGTATACAATTTTCCAAAATATGATCCAGAACAGGTTTCAAATGTGCACGTTACAAGGTACATCTTGAAAGATCCACGAAAAATCAGAAATTTAATGGCTAAACAAATATTTCCTTATTAAACGGTGGATTGACTTTAATAATACGTAAATGAAAATAGCTACACGTAAAAAGTGCTTTTAAATGAGACGTCCTTAGTAAAAGAGTATAACGTTGTTACAAAAGGTTCAAGTTTGAGCCCAACCCAATCAAGTATACGATCAACTTTTGATTTGGACTCTATTGTCATGTATGAGTTGACGTTTTTTCTACTTTAGATTATCCCCGAAGGGGAAAACTACAATGGCATGTATAAGTACTGCACTTTATGAAACGACAAAGCAAAGAATGTCCCTTACTTCCAGTCGTGTGGGGGAGTGTAAAATGAAACGTACAGGTAGCAAAATGGCACTCTTTTCACTTTTTCTGCCCACCATAGCGTACAAAATACATTTTAAAAATTTTTTTACAAGTCTTTATAAGACCTAATAGTATTTTCCATGCCAACTCCTTTGGATGTCCCTAATCAGATGAAACTTTTGAAAAAAAAAGTAAATTAAGATACGAGTAGTTGTCATAACAATCGTCAAGTCTTAAACCTTCGAAGCTCCAAAAAAGTTCCTGTGTGACGAAAATGTTTCAAAGTATTCACGAAAATGGTAAAAATGCCCCAAAAAGTGGTAAAAAGGTATTAAAACTCTCTGAGAGAGATACACTCTAATAAACGTATTTTTTTTTTTTCGTTGAGCCGTTAAAAGGTCGATTTTACGTGAGCCTCGTCATATACGTATATACATATCTGCTCGCTGCTCCCCTCGACTCGTTTCGCTCCCCACTCCGACCCCCCGCACCAATATCAGCTTGCCAGCAGACTGTGGCTGCCGTTGCGATGCAGACCCATGGCTTTCTCGCTGCGCTGCTCTCCTCCGACTCCGCTCTGCTGACTTTGCTCCATTCGTGTGATGTTCACGGTATATACCCGCACACATAAATTCGTGTACGCGAGTGTGCACGATGTGTAAGTGCACGTATATACGTATAGCTTGGCCTGCCACCAACCACCAGTGCCTAAAGCACGACACGGGCTGGGAGCGCAGAGCTCCGTTATGTATACTGGCTTCCTTTTCTTGCCGTCTCTCCCCGAGTTTCCTTTACAGCGTAACGCGTAAACTTTTCGTGCACTTACACACGTTGTTTCCCCCCCCCCTCTCCCTACGGTGATTTTACAGCTTGGGTAATTAAAAATGCGAAGATAAGAAATCGGGGATTCTTTTTCAATTAAGCAAGACGGTCGCACGTTGGCTTATGGAATCTGCCAATGATTACAAAATAAGTGAAATCGGCGACTATTGAATAAAAGTGATGAGTTTGATCGCTTTGGAAAGTAAAAAGTGCTCCTCTATGTATGTACACCCTTGCAGTACAAGTAAATTTTTGTTCACATTTGCATGGTTCTTCTTCGCTTACAATTTTTTAAAACTAGCAGTATTTTTTTTTTTTTTTTTTTTTTAATGCATTTTTATTTCCTGGTGTTGAAAGTCCAATAGGGAAAATTTTTTTACAAATATACGTCGCAGTACAACTAATCAATATGTTGTTCAACAGGAATAGATTTTTATCAAACGTGCCGCTCTTGCAGAAAATCATGTATAGGTACACTTTTTTTAAATGATAAAAAAAAAACACCCGCATTGGTTGGCGTTAGTTAGTGTCGCCCATATATATACAACCTACGTGGATAAACCTACTTTTTTTCGGTTTATTCAGCACAAGCTCTGGCCTCCCGATGCATCTTCTTTATTGTGTCTATTGGCGTTGGATTGTGCGCATAAAAATACACTCCACGCGCGCGCGCGCACGAGAAACAAGTTTTCGTAAGGAGGCGAACTCGCTCTGCGACTCGTCTTTTTTTTTTTTTTTTTTTTCCCCTATCTTTTGCTTCCTCCTTCTCTCGCCTTCCTTCTACCAGCATACGGGCGTCATGTGTACGTACGCATACGCGAACGAAAGCCTTTTCAGGAATTTTTTTTTTCTCTATCTCTCTCTCGCCCTTACTATTTCGTTATATGGGTAGGGAACTACTCTGGAATCGCGGCAGAGAGGCAAACTTTGCACGTGCGATGAACTTACTCGTGTTGTACGGTCGAGTGAGGGTAAAATGAAAAGTATACGATAAAGAGTCCGAGTTGAACAAAAAATTGAGTGTAGACAAATTAGTTCTAAAAAAAATGTTGGGTTTACTTGAAAAATATTAAAAAAAACTAATTTTATCCTGCTCTTGAGTTACAAATATCTTGAATTGTCTATATTTTGTCTAATCATTGTGGTAAAGTATGTTACAAAAACAATTAAATTCAAGTAGAAAACATGCCATCAGAAAATCGTAGTGGTATTTCCACCAATTTTTAAAGTTACTTTTTTCGTGTTAGCAAAAGAAACTAATGTAACTAAACTATGATCCACATTGAGCCACTATGTAAGAAATTATCAGGTACAAAATTTACACGTAATGATTTGCGTCACTCTACCGAAGGCCGTAGTATAACTGTGTTGATGAAAGTAAATTTTGTGTGAAAAAAAAAAAAAAAAAATTTCTTAAAGTGTCTCATCGATATCATCCGAGCAAAGTAACGACGCGTTTGCGTGAAAAACACACGAGCACGTGTACGATTGGAAATTAAATTAACACAGCGAATGGGACGGAAAGAAAGCGGAACGAAGGCGCAGGTATATCAACCGCGAGCACATTATGACCTCATCGCGTACAAAGAGAGAGAGAGAGAGGGAGAGACTATTATTATTACAAACAATTGTAAAAAAAAAAAAAAAAAAAAAAAAAAAAAAAAAGATTATTCTCGCATCTTTCCTCGCTTATTAAGCACAGCGTCTCGTCCCTTCTTCTTCTTCTTCTTCTCCCTTTTTCAAGTTCTCCAGCACGTGCGTGTAAAATAAATGCAGCGGAAAGGGGAGCGCTGCGGAGCAGCTTTATAGAAAGAAGGAAGAACGAGCATACAGAGCAGAGATAGAATGGGCGAGATAATGGTGACTGGTGTTATATGATGTCTCTCGCTCGTTCGCTTGCTTTTTTTTTTTTTTCTTTCTTTCCTCGTGACCGACGAGGACTGCATACTATATATACATATACGTAGGAGAGCGAGAGAAGTCGGTCAGGCGCTCTTCGCTGGCGTTTTGTGTATATACACATACCCACATATATATATATATATATATATAAACGAGTAAAGTTCTTAACGAGCGCAGAGACGAAGCTATATATACAGAGGAAGAGGAACAACTGAGAGAAAGAAAGGTGGCTAAGCCCCAAATAATACACGTACAATAAATTGTGATTTTTCGGTCCTCATTTTGGCACCATCCAACACTTTTGCCGATGTTTACTCTTACATGTATATACAATCTCGGTCATTGTTATAAGCTCGACTTTGAGCGTGCGAACGTACATTTGCGCGCGTACACTTGTTATTTTAAAATTCACCTCCGACTCCGGCGATGACAGGAGTTATTCGCCGAGTCACTCTCGGGTGAAAATTTTACAGCTTACAATATATATACACACGCTTATTGCGAGAAAAAGTCATTTACCCTATTACTTGTATTGTATGTGTACAGGTGGTATTCGGAGCAGAATCAGCCATGGTCCCTCCTTACTCTTTTTCTTCGCTTTCTCGATAGAAAGGATCAGATTTACTTAATAATCGTTGGCTAATCAAATAACGCAATTAATGGTCCACACACAACTACACTTGCAGTAGTTTTTCTCATTGTTGTTTACATGACATGTACGCTCCGTAATGTGGTACAGGTGCGCATTTGTACCCACGTAAGAATAGGCATGCACGCTACAAACTATCTACGTAAATGTCCGGACCAGTATATACCTATACTTAAATTACACAAGGCAACAACAGCAGTTAAAGCATTATGTACCAATACTCTCGTGTGTATATAAAGGAGAAGAGACGAGAAGAAAAAGTGTACTTGTGTGTGTGGGGGGGGGGGGTTAAAGCGACGTGCAGGCCAACAAAGGGAGTTTAGAGGGTCCCATGCCAGTGGAGGGAAAAAAAAGGGCAGGAGGGGGTAGAAAAGGTAACGTCCCCCGTCCTTCGATTATACATTATAGGTCTGTGTTCTCCCTCGCTCTCGGCACGCAGCCTATCCATCTACTTAAGCGGCGCGCGTCCCGAGACTCTTGATCCTGATGCTATTCCTGCTAAAACCGACTGCTACATCACTATACAACTTTGTTGCTGTGTTGTATCTTCTACACCGTCATCCTCGACATCTCAGCCGCTATTACCTTGTACACACAGGCTCTCCGGACTCTGCTGTGTGCTGTATAGCGGCTTGGCCTCTGTTCTTTGAGACCTGCCTTGTTTTTTTTTTTTTTTTTTTTTTTTTTTTTTGACGAAGAAAGCGAGCGAGCGACAGGCACCATTACCCACGTAAAATTAACTTCACACGGCTCTCATACACATTTATATCGCGCATCTCCACGCATCCGACAAGATTTCCAAGGCTTAAGGCAAAAGAGCGGAAACATTTGGGTATACTTTAAATACCGAGGGTTATTCGTTATCAAGAT